TCTACTACTGATAGTTGTATAAAGGTAGTAAATCTAGATGGAAATTGTGGCAGAACTTAAATTAACAGTGACACTATCGCGATTTATCGAAAAAGACTCTAAAATAGTTGGTTGTGTAGCGTGCGGTAGATCTCGGCAAAAATTGAGTGAAATAATGGAACAACTTTTCGCTAGTAAGTGACTATATAATATACATACGTGTAGTAAACCGATCATTTATGAAATTCACTTAAATTAACTAAATTATATATTTTTCTTGCATTTTAGCTTTTATTTATTACTTGTCAAAGATTAGATGTCAAAGAATTTAGATACGTTAATTTGACTTACCTGCTTCAGTAGCGTATCGGATGTTTGTGTTAATAAATACTTATTATAACTTATCTATTTTTATTAGAATTATATATTTTTATAACAATTTTAATAACTACCAACGTTTATTCACAACGTAAAATAAAACAACAAATTATTGAGTCTACCCCCACGTCTACCCTACATCATAGTTTTACATTTTTTAAATAAAATTAGAACGACACTGATAAATCGGAATTTAAGTCGGCCATATTTGAGGCCCATCGCGGTGTACCTAAGATTTTTGATATACTCCTTCCTTAGTCTTCTTATTCAAAGTTCTGGGGACTTTAGGCTGTCTAGTAGGCAATTCTGAAATATTGGTCTATGAAAAAATGACAATTTGCGCCCTCTTTGACTGGCTGCGGAATCCAAATGATATCACACATTGAAATACGCTTTTACACCATTTTCACACTTTCTTTCCTATAAGCTGTCGAATGACACTAATTTTTTGCGATGGTAAAATTAACTGGAAGTTTTATGCCAAGGATTAAATTGGCAGTTAGTGTCATTCGATAGCTTACGAAAAGTTAAGCTAGGAATTGCAAACCATTTCGCTGAATGGTATGTCATTTGGATTCGGTAGCATGTTAAAGAAGGAAAATTGTCATTTTTCAAATGTCCGTATTTCAAGTAAATGTACGAATTAGACATAGACAAAAATAACACGATTAGACATAGACATAAAAGGTTTTATACAAAATGTATCTAGAATTCGCAAGAGAATCCAAATATAACACTGGGTGTTCCATTAAAAAAATGCTTCACATTGTGACTGGAACTTTTCTAGGCAGATTAACACAGTGTGTTCCTAATGACTATATTTTTAAGGAATATTTACATTCAAGCAAAGGGAGTTACGGTCTACACTTAAATTAAATTCATAACTTCTTTCTTATAAGATCTAATAGATAGAGTCTTTTTCCAGGTTCTTGAGTTTCCATTTAAGTTGATTTCCACTTGGGAAGCAGAACGGTTCTAGTCCAGTTAGTGGAGTGTTCGCTCCTTTTCTAGCTAGATCGTTTGCTTTTTCATTGCCTTCTATCCCTTGGTGAACGAGCACCCAGAATAGGACTTTTCTTTGCCTAATTTGTTCAGCTTCTCTAGGTATTCTCTAACCAATGTCGAATTGATGGTTACTGAGTGATCGTTTTTAGTGCTGCTTGACTATCGATAAGATGACTATTTAAAAGATCATAGCATTCCATTATATGCTATTTTAGACAAAAAGTTGTCAGATAAAAGTTGTAGATAATCACATCCTTAATCCTGTGTCCTCCGTTTTTTTCTAAAGCCTGTTATTTTTGACATATGACACAAATAGATGTTTTTTTAAATGGAAACCATAGTGGGTCATGACCATAGGTCATGACTTCATAAAAAGCGTCATTTTTTTAAGCTTTTCACCGATATAAGATATAATATGTTTTCTTCGAAAAATTACTGAGTTCTAGCCAATTATTTTCATTTTTAAACAATTTCACTTAATTAGCCATGGAAACAAGTTTAATCGTCTTTGCTCTCATAAATGTGAAGCTGTCACATCCAAACTTTGTATATTAAAATAAACAAAAATTGTAAATATGAATTTTTCAAATGAAGAAAATCGTGTAGGATTATTGGTTCAACTTTTCTTGACCATACATTTATTTTCGAAGATTTTTTAGAGAACGGTTTTTAAGACATGTTAAAAAAGTTAAATTTAGTTATAGCCAATTTTTATCTTTCTTGCCTAATTTCACTTAGATTGCATGGTATTCTTATTCTGTTATGATTTATAACTTATAAAAAGTTAGAATATATTACTAAACGGTTCTTTACAATTTACATTACACAAACTAAAACTTAAAAAAAATAATATCACTACATACACTTTAAGTTATTTTAGAAAATGTTCAAAAAATCCGCAATTATTTTGAGTTGCATTTTTTTTAAACTGAATTACTACCTGTTCTCACAGAAGGACCGGTCGACTTAATTAAACTTTTCTCGTACCACCACTTCGAGTGCCTCTCTTAATTCATAAGTTCTTTTGTAAACCTTATTGTTAGCTATACCGCATAAAAAATTCTAAAATGGATCGGTCAGGTGATCGGGGAAGCCCATACAATTAGTCCACCTCTTCCTATCCCTGCGTTTATATAATTATGATATAAATAATTTTTTACATTTCTTTCATTATGGGGGGTGGGGGGTGGTGTGTTATAATGGAAGTCATGTTGGAACCACTCTATTGATACGTGAGTATCTATACGCTTTTCTTCATTTGAAAAATTCATGTTTACAATTTTTGTTTATTTTAATTTACAAAGTTTGGATGTGACAGCTTCACATTTCTGAGAGCAACGGCGATTGAACTTGTTTCGATGACTAACCAAGTGAAATTTTTTTAAAAATGATAATAATTGGCTATATTTCTGTAATTTTTCGAAAAAAGATATAGCTTACATCACTAAAAAGCTTAAAAAATGGCGCTTTTTATGAAGTCATGGCCAACTATAATTACCATTTAAAAAAAACATATGTTTGTGTCATACGTCAAAAATGACAGGCTTTAGAAAAAAACGGAGGACACAGTCTCATTAAGGATGTGATTATCTACAACTTTTATCTGAAAACTTTTTGTCTAAAATAGCTTATAATGGAATTACGGACAATTTTTAAAATAGCCGAAATTTGTTTTTTTTAAATATCTAGTAAACAATGAACTTTTTCAAAAATCTGAAAGGAGCATATTTATGACCCCACAAAACTGCAATTCTTTCCCCATTTAACCGACTCTCTATCTCCAGTAGTTTCCGAGATACCCATAGAGAACATCGTAGGAAACTCACCCTGTATATACCACCAAACTTTATTTATCTACTCACTCGGTAATTACCCAACGCCCCCCACTGATTTTTTTTTCAGTAATAAGAGGGCGCCCTCTGCCGCAAACACTGCGGCCTGTGAGACCTATTGTGTTTGTCCTCTTTTTATGTCTGCACCCATTCTCCTATTCCTGTATCCTGCACCAACTTATGCAGATCCTTGATAAGATGGGAGCATAGTTCCTCCAGTTCTAGCTTTGCTTTCCCAAATAAAAAGTGTCGCTTGCGATCCAGAGCCTCGCCGTGACATATTATGTGCTCCGCTGTTTAAGGATCTTTATCGCAGAGTTTGCAGCAAAGACTTCCTCGATACAGGTTGAGCTTGTTCAGGTAACACTTGGCAGCTATATGTCCTGTCAAAAGACCTGTTGTAATCCGCACTTTATTTATGCTAAGAATTAGCAGTTCCTTTGTGGTTTTATAACTATAGGTCCTCGGTAGCTATCTGTTTCTTCAGTGGACATTATACTTTTACCTGATCCAGAGTTTTACTTCACTACGGGCCATACACTTGGGTATTCCCAGTACGGTCAAACCAACCAATATAGGATGCCGATGATCCTTGCCTAGAGCTCATAACCTAATAAAAAAAACTAGAGCAAATAACTTAATTCTATTCCTTCGTGTCAGAGCTCCCAGTTCACTCAGACATTCCCAGACGAGTCTCGACGATATTTTGGGCTCATAAACGCCCCAAAGTGCCGCCTGACTGTCTGAGCATATTGTTGCGGACCGGTGTGGACTCGACCTAACCTGACTATATGTTCCGCCAAGGTTCCGCCCTCAGATGACCTTAACATCGCATTAAAGAATAGACACCGTAATGATTCATTCGTTCGAGAAGAATCGAGACCCACTAGAATGGACTAGTACATACGAGAACATTCGAAAACCTTCTCTATGCACCTAACGATCTATGGACTATTCTAGATTTCTTTTGCTGTAGGTATAAAAGCCGGCGGCAGTGGCCTAGAGAGGGCAGTTATAAATATACAGTTGACGCGCTAAAATTCAAAATAAATTCTTAGTTATAAATCGTTTGTAAATAGTTCTATAAGTCTTTTATCGTTATTGTTTTTGTTAATTAGTGTTAAATAAATAGTGTTTAAATAAATTGTGACTTTCTATCCACACGGAACCGACGAAAAACGTAACAATATATTGATAAGCTTACATGAGTAAGCTCTTTTGTTCTTTTCTATTGCACATTGTAGAATGGCGAAGATTTCTGCCTGGAATACTGTTAAGCCCTGTTAATCTGCCCAAGAAAAAGAATAAGCTTGCCTTGGTCTTTCCCCAAATATTCCAGTTCCTGTTCTTTTAGCGGTTTTTGACCCCTCTGTATACCAGGTTCTTCCCCTACGAGATGCGAGACCTTGACGTTGGTGGGGAAGCTCCCGGCCAGGGCACCGGAGGGGACCCCTCTTGCGCTCTGGTTAGGTCTAAGGAGCATCTCAATGTCTTGTCCCTGGCTGTAGTGTCGTGGCCAGGGAACTGCATCAAGACATAAAAACGATGCCGGACGGGACCTCCTTCGGGACTTAACGTCCGTCATACCGTAAGTCTCTCTTAGGAGAGACATGGGGGCTTTGGCTTTACTGTCTGAGCCGCGTGGATGAGGTACCACTATAAAAACCTCCCCAAATCCTACGGTATAGTGCGCGCCAAAGGGATGGATGGTCGGGGGGAAACCCGACCACTAGCGACTAACCTGGGATACCGGGCGACCTCCCAGCTCATAAATGCCTAGTCACGGTATTGCGGGGCTCTGCCGTGATGGTCGTTTCTTTCCCCTGCTACTCGTGGGATCATTATATGGACCAAGAAAGCAAAAAACCCAATGACGAGGATGGATCAAACCGTCCCGATCCTTCTCCTAAGGAGGAGGAAACTAAGGAGCGTGGGACTATTCCTACCCCAAACAACTCACCTCAGCCGGATCAGGAAACAGAGGGGCCCAGATCCCCCTCGCCTGAGAAGGCAGAAGGTGAACCTCCTTTCGGGGTCTCCAAGCAATTGGAGAAATTATCCCTGGAAAAGAAAAGGTTTGCAGGGGCGACAAGAAAGCTCCTCTCAAGACTTCTCAAGGGCGGAATGCCCTATGAGACCGCTCTGCAGACGATTCTGCAGCGACAAGCGGAGAAACAAAGGGCACAGATAAGTGGGGGTACCTCTTCCGGGAAGAGACAAATCAACCCGGAGGAGAATAAACCTCACACTGGTGCTCCTAATGCTAGCAAGCGCATCCGCTCGGATGCAAGCACGCCTGAACAGAGCGCTAAGAAGCCTTGTAGGGAGGGCGCAAGAAGCTACGTGGAAGCCGCTGGGGAAATAAGGGTTGGAGTAATCCGACCTAACCACCCAGAGAACAGCCTATCCACCGAGCAACTCTTGTTGTTGAAACGTGCCATTATGAAGGCCGTGGACGCAAGCACAGAGGAAGGACTACAGGTACGCTTCCAAGGCTGCTCGATTCGGCCTGGATGGCTGCTTGTAATCTGTGCCGACGAGACCAGCGCTGCGTGGTTAGAAAGGATGGTCAACGACCTTTCGCCATGGCAGGGCATGGAACTCAGGGCAGTAAGGGGGCGGGATATACCCAAGCCTCATGTCTGTACGGCCTACATTCCCGATGATGAGCCTGGAGAACGGCTCAGAGGGGATGTTGTGCTGAACAGACTTAGAAGAATGAATCTTAGCCTGCTAACTCAGGAGTGGAGAATCCTCCACCAGAGTGATGCAGGGCCGGGACAAACCTGGACCTTTGCGGTTGATGAGAGATCCATGGATCTCCTTCGCCGCAACGGATTCAGGGCCTACTTTGGGTTTGGGCAGATTACCTTCCGACCCAGAGATAAGGAAAATGAAACCAATACGGAGCAGACCAGGGCGTCAGTCTCGGGAGATGGTGGGGACCATCCTACAGCCTCTCGGGTGACGACTGACGCCACGAGGTCTGGCAACACCCAGAGGGAGAGAGCTGGAGGCAAAGTAGTGGCACGGAAAAACCCGGCCATGAAAGGGTCTAAAGCTAAACCCTCTGGAGCCTCGGGGAAGCCTGGCAACTCGAGTGGGAACAAACCCACCCGGAAAGGCAGGCGGAACGAATGTAGGTTTCCCACCAAAAGGGGACGTAGACCCCCTGACGGTGGGAGCAAAACCTAAATTTGACTACTGCAGGGATGGCTGCAGCAGTCAAATGTATACAAATTAACCTGCAACATGCCAAGGCCGCCTCTAACGTCCTTGGCAGAAGGTTCAAGAAGGAGGACGTGCATCTCGCCTTCATTCAAGAACCCTGGGTTAACTCAGGCCGCGTATGTGGCCTTGGGGACGCAGAGGGTAGGCTAATTACCGCCCCTGGAGTAACCAGACCTAGGGCATGCATTTTAGAAAAAAGAGCGTGCACTCTTTTAACCTTTATAGGTTCTGCTGTCAGGATGTGGTGGCGGTACATATCAAGATCCGAGCGGGGAGGAGCGGTGGAGGAGTGGAGTTCATTGCCTGCTCAGCATATTTCCCGGGAGACAAGACAGCGGATTTACCTCCTCCAAAGTAAGTGAGAGAACTAATCTCCTTCTGCAAGAGGAAAAACCTACAGCTGGTGATAGGATGCGACGCCAACGGCGACAACGAGGCATGGGGAAGCACGGACACCAACTTCAGAGGTGAGTTAATTCTTAATTACTTAATAGGTGAAGGGTTAGTAGTTAATAACATAGGCTCCGAACCAACCTTTGTTACTTGTAACAGGAAAGAGGTTTTAGACATTACGGTCAGCTCTAATTATTTGATCAACAGGATATCCAATTGGAGGGTATCATCTGAGCCATCGTGCTCGGATCACAGACACATAAAGTTTGAAATAAGCGTAGGTGAAAGAACTCTCCTGCAATATAGGGATCCTAAGTGCACGGATTTGGAGGATACAACCGCTCACTCGTGCATCTGCTGGAACCCACAATTGCAAAAGTGAGAGATCGCGACGAGATCGAGATTGCAGCGGAGCAACTGCGATGTGCAATTATAACGGCTTATAGTGAAAACTGTCCACTTAAAACAAAGAAGGATAATAGGAAGTCCTCTTGGTGGAACAACAAACTGGACAAAAGAAGAAAAGAAGTGCGGCAGCTTTTTAACCGCGCTAAAGTGTCAGGTAACTGGGAAACTTATCGTGCGACGTTGGCGGAGTACAATAAGGAAATAAGACGGGCGAAGAGAGAGTCCTGGAGAAGGTTCTGTGGGAGTCTGGTCGATCTACCTCAAAGCACCAGAATTCACAAGATTCTCTCAAAAGAACCAGTGAATGAGCTAGGGACGATACAGCGCCCCGACGGTAATTTCACAGAGTCCAGGAAAGAAACGCTACAGATTTTGGCCCAAAAACACTTCCCAGGCTGCTTGATACTAGGTGATGAAGAGCTACCCCCCCCGATACTCATGCGTCGTAAAAACCGGCCCAAAAAAGAGGATTGGGAGATAGCGAAGAAAGTAATCACCTATAGGGAGACTAAAGGGGCGATCGAAAGTTTCGACCCATTCAAATCCCCAGGAGAGGACGGAGTGTTTCCGGCCTTATTGCAGAAGGCTGAGAACATTATCGTCCCTCGCTTATTAAGAATTTTTAGGGCAAGTCTGGCATGGTCACACCTGCCAGCTGACTGGACGAGAGCAAAGGTGGTATACATACCGAAAGTGGGGAAACAAAACCTACAACCTGGCTCATATCGACCAATAAGCCTTACATCATTTCTGCTGAAGACTCTGGAGAAGATATTGGATGGACACATTAGGGGGAGGATTCTTACGTCTAATCCCCTGAATGTCCGACAATATGCTTATCAACAGGGAAAATCAACAGAACTGGCCCTCAACAATTTGGTAGGGGAAATTAAGAGTACCTTTGATCGCAAAGAAATTGCGGTAGGGATATTCCTAGATATTGAGGGAGCATTCAACAATGTCACCCCTCAATCGCTCCTAGGCGCTGTGAAAGCACGAGGAGTCGAAGCTACCATAACTGAATGGATTGAGCAAATGCTCAAAAATCGAGTAGCAACGACCTCGCTCAGTGGTGAGTCCGTTAGGTTTGTTCCGGGCAGGGGATGCCCGCAAGGAGGAGTTCTCTCTCCTCTTCTGTGGACCCTGTTAGCGGACGACCTGATGGCAATCATCGATGCATACGAGGTTGAAGCACAGGCATATGCGGACGACCTGGTGATCCTAGTAAAAGGACACAAAGAGGAGGACATCTCCTCAAAAATACAGGAAATCCTAGATGCAATTCACGGCTGGTGCACACTGGAACAATTAAGTGTAAACCCACAGAAAACCGTGATCATACCATTCACCAGAAGAAGGAAAACAGACAAACTGAAACCGCCCATTCTTCTTGGTGAGACAATTCCGTTTGCGGAGGAAGTTAAGTATCTGGGATTAAACCTGGACAAAAAACTTAGCTGGACCTCTCATCTGGAAAAAACATCAAAAAAGGCTTGCTATGCTCTATGGGCATGCCGCCGAATTTGTGGTAGAAACTGGGGATTAAACCCCAAAAATATGTACTGGCTATACGTGACGGCCATCAGACCTATTATCACGTATGGTGCAGTTGCCTGGTGGCAGAAAGCCAACCAAATAACGGCAAAGAATAAATTGTCGAAATTACAACGACAAGCATGCTTAGCGGTGACTGGTGCCTTCCATTCCACGCCGTCAAAAGCTATGGAAACCCTATTCGATCTACCTCCTCTTCAAATTCTTTTGGAAAGAGAGGCGAGATGGGCTACATATAGGTTTCTAAATATAGCACGAGGAAGCCAAGGAACAATTATGTTCATACAAAACCGGCTAGTAGAAGAACTACAGTCGGATGAGATTATGGGAATGATCTCGGATCTTACACCACCAGTCCAACTCTTGGCACGCACCTACAACGTCCTGTTTCCGAACAGGGACGAGTGGGATAAGCCGGGAAACGGCTTATTACGTGCGGAAATGTGTTGGTACACGGACGGATCCAAAAACGAAAAAGGATCTGGCGCAGGAATTTACTGCAGCAGTCCAAAGACTGAGATCTACCACAGTCTTGGAAAACACACCACGATCTTCCAAGCTGAGCTATATGCTATTGAAACCTGTGTGCAACTGCTGGTAGAACAGCAATACACCGGGAAAACAATATGCATATTTTCGGATAGTCAAGCTGCGCTGAAAGCACTTGAGGCAACAAAAAGCACGTCTATGACGATTCTTCATTGTAAGAAACTATTCAATATACTGGGAGATAGGAACAAAGTGTTATGGATACCGGGACATGTCGGCCTAGAGGGAAATGAACGTGCTGATTCCCTCGCCAAAATTGGTGCAGGCTCGCCATTCGTGGGCCCAGAACCGGCACTTAGCGTTCCCAAAAATCTCGCAAGAGACAGGCTCTGTGAATGGGTTAGTGAGACATTCCGAGACTGGAATGACAGTCCCGAATGGAGCATGCCAAGAAAATCCTAGCAGGGCCATCCAAACATAGAACAGGAGAACTCCTAAAGGCCGGTAGGAATGGAACGCGTGTGCTCACTGCAGTGTACACGGGCCACTGTCGGCTGAGATCTCACCTACAGAGGACGGGACTGGTGGAAGACGCCGAATGCCGACTCTGTATGGAAGATGATGAAACAATGAAGCACGTTAGGTGTACCTGCCCCGCTGGGAGCAGGACCAGGTTTGAGATGTTTGGCAAACCCATGCTAGACCTATCAAACCTAGGAGACATATCGCCCTCAGACATAACGGCCTATATTAAGAGGCTGGGTCTTGAGGATGAACTTTGACGCTCTTGTAAATTAGAGCTTGTAGAAACTGAGCCACAATAGGCCCTCGCGGCCTCAGTGGAGGGTCCCCTATGGGACCCACTCTTAGTCAAATACAAAAAATACCAGGTTAGTCCGTCCAGAAGGAATGTTGTATCTGCCCACATTCCTCGATCCATTTTATTAACCTCGAATGGTTTGTGGTAGCGAATGGTTTGTCATAGTGTCGCGATCTAGCTTAGGGATTGTTCGCTAGGATCGCTTAGACCAAGATCTCTCTTTCAATCAAAACAACAATTAGAAAAATATACATTTATTGTGCAAAAATATACAATAGTTTAAATTGAAGAACAATTCTTGGAAATGCCAAGACTTACAGAGTATGCTGAGATTATTCTTTCATTGAGATAGTTAAACATCTTCCCTGGCTGAGACTGGCTGTCTGCTGACTTCTCAACTAACTCACTAACTATCTGACTAACTGGTTGACTGGCTACTGATAACTCACTGTCAACTAACTAACCATTTGACTATCAACTTACTATGAACTGACTAACCCTTTGACTAACTTCGCTCTCTTCGGCATACTCTTTTTATATTCTTCTATTACTACGTCGTCAAAATAGTTTACAATCTAATTACGCTAATCCGGCTATGACCATGAGGAAATCGACTTGACAATAGTGGTCATTTGGTCCGATCTCATTTGGCGTAGAGGTGCCCTGATAGAATCCCATCTTTAAGTGTCCTGTTTCTGCCCTATTCCTTAGATACAACACACTTTGTTGTCATTATGTGTGTTCACTATGTGAAGAGGTGGAAGGTCGCCTCCATTGATGCAGTGAGCGTTGATTTTTCATCGCCCCCGTTATGCTCAGACAAGCAAGTCTTTGCACCTTTCTGAGGCTGAGCATTGTTGTTCGTTGCGTTACCTTAGGCCACCATACCAAGAATGCATATGTTACTGAAGGCCTTACTATCTCAGTGTACAGCCCGTGCACCATTTGTTCTCTGAGGCCCCAGATTTTTCCTTGAAGTCGTCTGACTACCACAAGTGTAGTAACCACCCTCTTTGTGACAGTTTCCAAATGTCGGTTCCGGGCGCGGTTCCAGGTCAGTTTGGTGTTCTTAAGATACTTGACCTTCCACGAGAGAGGAATCTCTTAACTGCAGGGTCTTAGAGATCCTAGTTCCTCCAAAATTCTTCGCTTGGTGAAGGGGATTATTACGGGGACTAATATTTAGTACCTCCCGTGTGGGGAGGGGGGGACTTTTGAGCATGCAGTCTATTCACCTGCAGCAGGTCTCCTTTAATGCTGATTCTATTGATAGTCCTCCTGTATAGGCATTCTGGTTTTGGTTAGCATCCATCTCTTCCTGTCTTTTTAGTTTATTTGATTTTTAGTTTACCCAAATTGTGTTTTGTTTTATATGAGCTAATGCTTATTTAAGGACAACGGATTTATTATTATTAAGGAACCATATGAAATAAAACTAAGATTATTTTATACTGTTTATTCATTTTAATTCCTTCTATAGCGCTTAAAGCTTTTACAAAGTTCAATAATAAATATTTACTTAAAAACTCACACAGTCAAACTGCCGAAACGAAAAATAAATTAAAAATACTGTCCCAGACAAAATTTCACATTCATTGCTTGGCAAGAAAAGATCCTAAACAAAAATATAAATTAAAAAAATAATAATAAATAGAATGATACAAATAATTCAATTTTTTACCACTTGCTAGAGAAACATATAAGTCAAATCTAAATTTACTACAAAATATATCAATCGTATATAAATATTATTACGAGGAATAATAAATATTCTTTATTTCGGTTAATTTTTTATTTATTAGGTTTAATTTTTTGACCCGTGTATATTATACAGCTACCTACAAATATTAACAATTAAAAATAATTATAAAATATATACGTTTATTTTTCTATTTTATTTGAGAGCATAGTTTAGTCTAATATATTAAATAAAATAACACAAAAAAATTGCAATAGCGGGACGGCTGTATCCCGAGGAATGACGAAATAAAAACACAAACAAAATAACAACATATATAAATTAAGGAGTAATTTTAAAAACAACTAGAGCTATTTACACGGTAATGATTTTCGTTCTTCTAATTTAGGGTTACTTATATTCACAAAATAGAGTTATCAATTAGTTAGAGTTATCAATTCTTAGTCAGTCTTTTTCTTTTCATTATAACGCACTTCGTAAGGCACTAAACGTTGGATAATTATCAAAACACTGTATATTTTTCCAAATAATTTCTATAGATTGGTTTAGTACAATTTTTCTATTTTTCTTTAGTTTTATCTAATATAAAGAGGCATATGATCATATACATTGTAAGTATTTTTATTTCATAGCTACGAAGTACTTTTTAGTCAGAAATAAACATTTTATTTATCATGTTTAAGATTTACATAAGATATTTTATAGAAATGCAGATTTGCTTAAAGATGAGTTAAAACACATATCACGTTTATGTTAGATAAAACTATGAGATCCGAATAATAGAAGAAATTTGTTGTCTCTATAAAAAAGTTTACAATTCATCAGTATAGTACAAGCCCGCATCAACTTAGATGTTTTCTTAACATCTTTTTTAGCAAATTTCTGCTTAAAAAATAACACCACACTTTACATATCTCTTGTAAAATTAAGTATTTAATAACATTTGACATACGCGTTTTACATATATTTTAAATTTCTCGGAAAATATTCATCGTTGTAAACAGAGAATGTAATTTTTACTAAGAATTAAGAGAGTATAGATAAGAGCTAAAATTTAGTGATTGAAGAAATAAGAAGATGCGCAACCTTAGAGGCAATTTCGTGGCACAAAACCTGTCCGAGGTGTAGCTGGCGTTACGGTCAGCCTGTCCGAGATTTAGTTTAGCTTTGCGCCGCTGCGCACTGATAGTCGTTTACAGTGCAACGGATAAAGAATACTATACCATAGTTCTGCTTTCAGTCGACAGAGTAAGTGGTGGCCGGAGACAGTGTTGCCAGAACTACTGATAAATCCGTAGATTTACGGATTTTGGGTACATTACGTTAATAATACGGATTTCCTATTATTAAACAATTTAATATAATATTATATGATTAAACAAAGACCGGCGTCAATATTATGGCAAATATAAATAATTGTCATTCCAAGCCAACTAAAAGACTTTTTCCGATCATATGACATATTCAGCACCTACAAAAGAATTATTATTTTTGTTGTTTATTCTATGTTTAACACGAATACATTTTCAATATATAGACAGGGATTTTTCATCCAAAAATTATTTTCATCAAACGTATTACAGACATTACACATTTTAATATGGCAACAATGTTCGACATCGTTTTCGACATCCCTTCACTGACCGAATTAGAGAAAATGAGTGTTTTACGCGTTGACCGCAGAACGATTGGTGTCTCCACCGTACAGCACTTGAGACGTAAGGGGAAATCAAATCAGGCTTGTCACGAATTCACCCATTAGGTTGCGTATCTTCCCATTTCTTTCAATCAACGATATTATTAAAAAACTTACGGAAATAGTATACATTTTGTAATAAAATATTGATTTTCAACTTTTATTTTTATGAATAGAACAGACACGTACTTGAAAAGTATTAATGTTATAGTAATAGAGACATTATAATAACTTATTAAACGTAAAGATAATAAAGTCCAAATTATCTTTCTGGACTATTCTTGTTTTCAAATTTGAAAGATTACATGACGTTATTTTTTAACCAGAAATTTATACAGTATATAAAAATATTCATTTGATGTTCAACTTATGTGCAATATTATAAATTTATACTGTAGTTTTGTGCTACTAAATAATCACTGATGTAAAGTATCCACAGACACAGCAAAATTCCTATGAGCTGCCATTCTGTTGCCAGGCGATAGCTTGTTGACGATCTCTTCTTGCAGATAAGCTAACACTCGTCTAACTTCGGTGTTTTGCGCCGGAGCGTATTTCTGAGCTTCGTGCGCATCCCTTAGTGCGCATTCGTATTCGCCTAAATCTAGGCGGGCCTTTGACAAGGCGTAGTGAGCTTCGTACGATTCGGGTTTCATCGCTAGGGCTTCGTTAGCTAATTCGATTGCTTCTTCGGGTTCCTGGAAGAAAAACATAAAAATTGTATATAAAAAACACCAATTGATTTTTATTGAATAAATGTGTAGCATAAAATAAATGTGTATACAATGTAGAATGTAGAATGAGTAAGAGGGGGGGGGGGGTGTTAATCACTGCGACTTTAAAGATCTATTGTATCTTTGAGTCATCACACAGTCTATAACCCATCATACCTCTGTTGTAGAGGGGACAGGGAATTTCCCATCCTCCTCTGACAACAGTTCTTCCTCCGAGGGTACACACCCTTCCACGGTTGGATTTTTGCTCTCTGTGCCGCTCTTCACAGACGAGGAGCTTGCCTCCGGCTGAGAAACCCGTGAGGTTGAGGCTGTAGGATGAGGCTGGAGCATCTGTCTCCATTTTCCCCACCTCTTTAAGTTGGTCTCTCTTTAGACCTGATACCGGTGTTGTCCGGTATCTATAATAGAGGATGTCCCTCTTTCTCTATTGCCTCCTTGGATTTGAGGTCAATTCTTATTGTGAGGACCTGACCATGACCCTCCTCCCTCATGTGCATACAATATTTAAGGAAAAAGGTTAAAAAGGTTAAGGAAGTGTGACATAATAAGACAGGAAAGAACAAACCGGTAAGTTGCAGGAAGTCAAGCAGCGCCAAAGCCACTCGGTTACACCGAAGTCCACGGTACCACGGCATTCATAGGCCCACAACCCTTCTGTAGCATTGCAAAAAATGACACGAAAAAGATTGATGGCCAGCGAATCTCTAGAATGGTGGAGACATTGACCAGGGCAGAGATAAACAAAAAAGTTCATAGTACAACATTCGCCAAAATTATTAAGCGAAGACAGAACGACAATCAAAGGTGTAGTGGGTCTACTAACAGGGCATTGCAAGGTGAATAGACATCTAAAGCTAATGGGATTGATGGACGAAGCCATATACAGGTTCTGTCAATCTGCAGAAGAAACGACAAAACACATTTTATGTCGGTGCGATACGTATGTACATTTGCTTGTACGGTTCTTAGTGCTAGGCAATGATAGGCGATTGACACTATTGACAGACATTAACCCTATTATGCAGGGTTTAGTCTCCAAGTTACTAGACTTTTTGAAAAGGATAGAGAGAATGTGACCTAAGGATCAGAAGGGGAACACAATAGATCTGGAAAGGTTGCAGTAGACCAGGCCGATAGCCAGCTTGAATCTAATCTAACGATTATGGAATGTCGCTTTATAGGTAAGCAACAAGATTAATAACATAAATATTAGTCGGAGGTTATCTCGTATAACATGATTTTTTGATTGGTAGAATTATTACGACAGTATAGGAGACAAACAGCTGTGGTGGAAGTCTTCGACTTTGCGTGATATTTATTAATAAAATAGTTAAGAAAATGATTCGAAATCTTGAAGTACCGCATAAAGCTGAGCGCAAATAAATTTAAGGTAAAAATATGACACAATAATAATACAAATCGGTATGAGAAGTTGAAAATACAAAAAATAATAAAAAAAGAAAGCCAATATGCACAGGGTAAAATAATAAATATATATATATATATATATATATATATATATATATATATATATATATATATATAAATAGATTATAAAAAATAATAAATATCAGTGGAAGGAAAACTGCTAAACGTGAAGGATTAGGTAAAATTTGTACAAGAAGGTATAGGCTTGGTGCATTTTAGTAGAGTTTAAAAATTCTAAACGCAGCCCTCGATACGGTCGAAATCAAGTAGTAAAAATTAAGGGAAAAGAACCCGAACTGGGCGACGTAAAATAATAATTTTAGAAGATATTCATAAAACATTTAATCACTAGTTGATTAAAAAAGTATACCCTTAATATGGCAAATTATATTTTATCCTCTTGTCTATTAAATTTTTTGATTATGCAACGAGCACTTTGTTTAGTCACTTGTTTCGTTGAACTGTTCGAATCCATTTTTGCATTTGATCAAATCGGTGTGAGAAACTATGAAGCTATAAAATGTTACCGTTGAGGGTTGGAACCTTTGGTGTTACACAGCAAAATAAAAACACCAAATCACCACAATACACCAAAACACTTTTACTTTTACACTGGACGCGCGTTTCGCTAACCATGTTAGCATCATCAGCAGATGATTATAAACTAAAGTACAATCTACAAGTTGAGCGTTTATATACTCGCCCAGTGGGCACCGAGTAGGCGTGGCAAAATCTAGCCAACCGAGTCAGAACCCACTGAGCGTAACAGTTAGATTTCCGCCACTAGAGTAGTAGGAACAAAGAACTTGAAGGAATTGGACCGTTGTCTCTGTTCGTACTATCTTTACATTTATTAATTCTGATGCTTTCTAGTTGCCTGTAATTTGAGACTTGTTTAATTAATTTTAAATTATTAAGATCTATACAATGTTCTTTATCAACAATATGTTCGGCAACGCAAGATTTATCCGGTCTACCATATCTTATCTGAGCCAAATGTTCTTTAAATCTAGTTAATATTGATCTTCTAGTTTGCCCAACATATTTCTGATTACAATCTTTACAAGAAATTTCATAAATACCCGACCTTTCCAGTGGAGGTGTTTTATCCTTTGGATTACCTAATAATTGTTGTAATTTATTATTAGCACTATACACAAGTTTATAATTGACATTCTTAAAAATTCCTTTTAGACCACGGGATAACTCTCTATCAAACGGTTTCGAAAAATATATAGACGTATCTTTCTCCACTTGAAAAGTCGAATTTTCAGAAATCATTAACCTATAACGTTTTCTAATTAATTTATCTAAACCTAGCCTAACGTTTTCTAATTAATTTATCAACTAGTGAAGGAGAATATCCATTACACTCAGCTACATTCCTAATATAATCTCTTTCTATTTCATATCTTTCGTTGGAAAGTGGGAAACTAAGTAATCTATGAACTAAGAAATTTAAACTCGCCATTTTATGTTCAACACTATGATGTGATTCATTAGGAATATATCTGCGTGTGGTCGTATTTTTCCTATAGATATCAGATTTTTCCTTTAGAAATCTAACTGTTACGCTCAGTGGGTTCTGACATGGTTGGCTAGATTTTGCCACATGTACTTTAGTTTATAATCATCTGCTGATGATGCTAACATGGTTAGCGAAACGCGCGTCCAGTGTAAAAGTAAAAGTGTTTTAGTGTATTGTGGTGATTATTGTGTTTATTTTGCTATAAAATGTTGTTTCAGGAGGGTTGAATATCCGGGAAAGTTGAGTTATTGAATGTTATTGCACCGAACAACGCCCTAATTACGCTCTCCTTTACGCGTTTACATTTTCTCGGCAATTTTATTAACATTTGAAATTGTCACAACACGACGCCTAGTTGGGATTCTTTTTCACTTATTTTTTACTAATCGAAACAGCATCAGCATCACACAAACCTTGTACCTGAGTGTTTTATAGTTTCAATAACTGCAGTAGCAACAAATTAAAGTACTTAAATATTATGACAAGGCCACGATTTCAATATTATTTGCACGGAGTGAAATACATATAGTGGAAATTTCAGATTTCTCCCGTATACAGCGCTGCGGTCGGAAATTTTGAGATCAACTAAAATGAACCAAGCCTATAATCTACAGACACATAATAATTATATTTTGGAAAATATTTTTTCAGCAAAATTAAAACACAATTTGATGGGAGATTTATATTATATTCAATATTTAGATGATGTTATTTTAGGATAGTCAAAATAGTTTCTTTTCTCGTTGCATACATTTTTTATAAACTATTTCCTTTTTCTATTTATATACTTACGTTCAGTTTTCGTTTGCATCTAGAGTAGTTTAGTAGGAAATTGATTTGGAGCTGATGGAATGCTTGATTGTGTTCACCTTGGTCGTCGCTGGGAAATTTCTTTAGGGCGTATTGATAGCGATGGGCCGCTTCTCTCAACCTGCTTTTTCGGTAGAGCACATTACCGTCTTCCAGAAGCTTGTTGAGAAGAATGAGCCTGAAAGTAAAATAAAATCGTATTATACAAAAAGATAAATAGTTTTATAAAGAGTAAAATAAGAAAAAAAACACAATTTTCTGTTAAGGTTTGCCATATTGAAAATATTTTCAACCGAGAGATTTCATTGTAAAACATTGATGTGTAAAACCTGTAACATCCACCAGGGATGCCCTTGCATATTGATGTTTTGTTTATTTTTTTGTGTTTGCATAAATAGCCTTGTACAGGGTGGACCATTTTGGTTGTTTCTATAGGGTATCTAGGAAACCGTGAGAAATATTCAAATTTTGATACTACAGTCTCGGGTTCTTTTTTTGAAAAAATTACAATGGCGCAAACGGATCGTGGCTATCTTGATCGGTTTCGAAGCTACAGGGGGATTCTCAAATTTTGTACTTTTTGAAGATGTTCGATAGTTTGTTTATTTCAGCAACCACGGAAAAATGAATTATAGATTCTAAAGGCACTTTTCTGTGTAGAATGCAGTGGCGTAGTCAGACTTTTTTCGAAAAAAATATTTTTTGAGATATTAACTATACTTATGTTTTTTTTTAAATAGAACCTCCTGTATATTTTTAATTTTTTTTATTCAGCTTGGCATGGACTTCTCGAAAATATATAACACTCTATATTTATTTTCACTATCAACCTCAACATTTCAAATTTTTCTTAACATATCCACTTAGTGGATAGTAGGCCGCGCCGAGTAACAAAGTAAACGGTTATCATGGTGATCGGAACATACCTTTGATGGATGCGGTACATTTCATTTCAATAGATCGAAGTGCGTGTATTTTAAATAATAAAAAAATGAGTAAATTTGAAAATTTTGAGAAATATAATATGTTAGAATGTTATATTGAGTCTAACAAACATAAGCAAATGGCAGCTGATTTATATTTTGAGCGGTATCCAGAGAGCCGAGCAACCAAACCCAGCCATTTTTGAAAGGTTAGAAGATAGTTAATCAATTTTGGATCTTTTCAAAAACCGGGCCTGAAAAATTATCAGAAAGAAGATAAAGAAAATCAATATATTAATGTCCTCGGAGCCGTAACACTAGATCCAACAAGTAAATCTATTGAAATGCTGTTAGCGGCGCGCGGCGGCGCGGCGCGCGGTTGCTACTCTGTCTAGATAATAATGAGCAGCAATCTGAACATTTAACATAGTCTTTGTGTTTTTATTTTTTTTATATTAACTGAGAAGCCCGATTGAAGTAACCTCTTGAGCTTATATTAAAATATGTTTTTTTGTTTCTGTCACGCTTATTTTTTATTTGCTTGGTATTGTTCCATTTTATTTAATTGTTAATTCACATATTCGGCTCCGAGGACATTAATAAATTGATTTTCTTCATCTTCTTTCTGATAATTTTTCAGGCCCAGTTTTTGAAAAGATCCAAAATTGATTAACTATCTTCTAACCTTTTAAAATGGCTGGGTCTGGTTGCTCGGCTCTCTGGATACCGCTCAAAATATAAATCAGCTGCCATTTGCTTATGTTTGTTAGACTCAATATAACATTCTAACATATTATATTTCTCAAAATTTTCAAATTTACTCATTTTTTTATTATTTAAAATACACACACTTCAATCTATTGAAATGAAGTGTCCCGCATCCATCAAAGGTATGTTCCGATCACCATGATAACCGTTTACTTTGTTACTCGGCGCGGCCTATTATCCACTAAGTGGATATTTTAAGAAAAATTTGAAATGTTGAGATTAATAGTGAAAATAAATATAGAGTGTTATATATTTTCGAGAAGCCCATGCCAAGCTGAATAAGAAAATTTAAATATATACAGGGGGTTCTATTTAAAAAAACATAAGTATAGTTAATATTTCAAAAAATATTTTTTTCGAAAAAAGTCTGACTACGCCACTGCATTCTACACAGAAAAGTGCCTTTAGAATGTATAATTCATTTTTCCGTGGTTGCTGAGATAAACAAACTATCGAACATCTTCAAAAAGTACAAAATTTGAGAATCCTCCTGTAGCTTCGAAACCAATCAAGATAGCCACGATCCGTTTGCGCCATTGTAATTTTTTCAAAAAAAGAACCCGAGACTGCAGTATCAAAATTTGAATATTTCTCACGGTTTCCTAGATACCCTATAGAAACAACCAAAATGGTCCACCCTGTACAACTGGTTATGGAATATCTTCAAACAGGTAGTATATTCAGACGGTATATTCTGCAGTTAGAAGTTTAAATCGATAAAATTTGCGTGTTAGACTTGTTGCGTTCCCAACTAGAACTTTTTTCAAAATTTTTTGAAAAATCTATTTTGTTTTATTTTCCAAACAACAACAATGCTCAATACCACTAGTAAATAAAATGTTAGTTTTTCGGAATCGGTTTTGATTATTTCTCGTGTTACGCGTGCTTCTTGAGTCTTTCAAGTGAATCCCCGACTGCGTTATGTAGCCTGAAAGACGAACGAAAGAAATTTATCTTGAATATATTAAAGAGTACCTTAAAATCCTCCAGACCTTAGCTTATGCATTTACATAGTGATAAAAACACATCTCCACTTTTTAATAGACATGTATTCGATAACATATATCTGTAATGGATAGATACAGGGTGAGTTTCCTACGATGCTCTCTATGGGTATCTCAGAAACTACTTGAGATAGAGAGTCGGTTAAATGGGAAAAGAATTGCAGTTTTCTGGGGTCATAAATATGCGCCTTTCATATTTTTTAAAAAGTTCATGGCTTACTAGATATTTCGAAAAAAACAAATTTCGGCTCTGTTAAAAATTGTTCCAATTCCATTATAAGCTATTTTAGACAAAAAGTTTTCAGATAAAAGTTGTAGATAATCACATCCTTACTGAGATCGTATCCTCCGTTTTTTTCTAAAGTCTGTCATTTTTGACATATGACACAAACATATGTTTTTTTAAATGGAAACCATAGTTGGCCATGACTTCATAAAAAGCGCCATTTTTTAAGCTTTTTAGCGATATAAGCGATAATATGTTTTCTTCGAAAAATTACTGAGTTATAGCCAATTCTTATCATTTTTAAACAATTTTACTTAGTTAGCCATGGAAACAAGTTCAATCGCCGTTGCTCTCAGAAATGAGAAGCTGTCGCATCCAAACTTTTTAAATTAAAATAAACAAAAATTGTAAATATGAAAATTTGAAAAATTGTAAATTTTTCAAATGAAGAAAAGCGTGTAGATACTCGCGCATCAATAGAGTGTTTCCAACATGACTTTCATTATGACCCCCCCCCCTCCCCCATAATGAGAGAAATGTTAAAAATTATTTATATCATAATAATACAAACTCAGGGATAAAATAACTTAAAGTGTATGCAGTGACAGAAGTGATATTATTTTTTTAAGTTTTAGTTTGTGTAATGTAAATTCTAAAGAACCGTTTAGTAATATATTCTGACTTTTTATAAGTTATAAATCACAACAGAATAAGAATGCCATGCAATCTAAGTGAAATTAGTCAAGAAATATAAGAATTGGCTATAACTAAATTTAACTTTTCTAACAAGTCTTGAAAATCGTTCTCTAAAAAACATAACATTCACCAGTCAACGTATCCTCGATAATGTATGGTCAAAAAAAGTTGAACCAATAATCTTACACGCTTTTCATCATTTGGAAAATTCATATTTTCAATTTTTGTTTATTTTAATTTACAAAGTTTGGATGTGGCAGTTTCACATTTATGAGAGTAAAGACGATTAAACTTGTTTTCATGGCTAACTAAGTGAAATTATTTAAAAATTATAAGAATTGGCTATAACTTGATAATTTTTCGAAGAGAACATATTATAGCTTATATCGCTAAAAAGCTTAAAAAATGGCACTTTTTAAAAAAAACATATGTTTGTGTCATATGTCAAAAATGACAGGCTTTTGAAAAAAACAGAGGACACAATCTCATTAAGGATGTGATTATCTACAACTTTTATCTGAAAACTTTTTGTCTAAAATAGCTTATAATGGAATTAGGGACAATTTTTAAAATAGCCGAAATTTGTTTTTTTCGAAATATCTAGTAAGCCATGAACTTTTTTAAAAATCTGAAAGGCGTATATTTATAACCCCACAAAACTGCAATACTTTCGCCATTTAACCGGCTCTCTATCTCCAGTAGTTTCCGAGATACCCATAGAGAACAACGTAGGAAACTCACCCTGTATAAAGTATTACAAAATCGGTTAAATTTTACATAAAAAACATATTTTTGTATTTGTAGTTGTCCTGAAAATTAATTGTTTTATTTTAAGTGGTTTTAGTCTCATCTGTATCTACAATAAATTAATAATATGATATTGATGATGACATGATTCATCATGAACGAACATCTCAGTAGTTTGAAGCTAAGAAACAACGGCGAATGCGGATTCTGTGGAGGAAATGGGGAAACACCAAAACACCTCATCACTGAAAGTCCCGAGACGACAACTATTCGTGCCACAAACTTTGGTACGACTGATGAGGGGGAAAACTAACTTCTATAAAACCGTTTTAGATACTGCCTTTTCTTAAAATCCTGAGGCTGTAATCTTGTAAATCTAATGCGTTGGCTTGGTTTTGGTTCAGTTTAATCGAGTAGAGAATTATCTGCCCCAACTCTAAAGACTAAATGATAAACGAACAAATACTTACATTATTTCTGGCTTGCCTGCAGCCATGGCCCACGTCGCCGGTCCCAACTTAGCCCCCTTCTTCAAAAAACAATGCACCGCCTGCACATTCTTGCAACCGATCGCCCTATCCAGCGGCCTCATGCCATTGATATCCACGTGTTCGATTTGAGCGCCCCTGTCGAGCAAGTACTGAACAAGCGTGGGATTGCCATGAAACGCCGCTAGATCAAGAGGCGTCCTTCCTGTTTTATCGTTATGATTGATATCAGCGCCCCTTTCAACTAGACTTTGAGCAGCCTGAAGTTTCCCTCTAAGACAAGCCCAACAAAGGGGAGTCATGCCTTCTTTGTCCGTTTTATTTATATCTGAACCTGCGACAAAGAAAATTAAATAAATTTAAAATAAAAACGAATTTTTAAAACAAGCAATTTGTTTTTGATTCTGACGCCGGGGTGTGTTATATCCCAGAACCCTTATGAATTTTATGTTGGCTCAGAAAATTTGTTTTAAGAGTAAAAAGACCACCATGTACAAACGGAAACAAGCTTGTTTCCATTTGTGAGAAGATATCATTTGCTTATTAGTAGGCCGTGATAGATAACAAAAAAAATCGAAATGGTATTTACTAAAATGTCATACACATATTAAAATTTTATTTGGGACTGAAATATTCTACTTTTAAACTGTTATCATTGAATTTCTGAATATATGTTTTGTCTTTTTTTTATAACGGGATTTATTATAATGTTTGCAGATAGCTTAAAGGTTGCCTGATAGCATTTTCCAGGGTTTCGACATTGTTATATTTGTCACGATATATTTCATTTTTAAAAAATCCCTAAATACAGAAATCGAGAACGGACAAATCCCAAAAAAAATAATAAATAATTTATCACTTACCTTTATCTAATAAGAGATCTATAAGACCAAGATGTCCTTCAGAAGCTGCTATCATAAGAGGTGACCGTCCTGCGGTGTCCTGCTGCTCAATAGCTGCGTGGTTCTGTATGAGTCTTTCTGCAACAGCCCAGTGGCCTTCCTTAACGGCTATCAGTAACGGTGTAAGATCCTTTTTATTGGTAATTGATATGCTAGCTCCTCTACTCATGAGTGCTGAGCAAACTGCATGGCAACCGTTCGCAGATGCCACGGTAAGTGCTGTTTCACCTAAAGTAGAAGACAAATATTTATGTATAATAATTACAGAGGTAATAATTAATAATATATTATGCATTGAAATAAAGCTATGCGAATACCAAAACCAAGTAGTATCTATAAGATATAACATAAAATATTCGTTGATATACAGGATCAAACGAATTGTATTCGGAAAACTTTGGCCCAGCATATTCTTCGTATAAAAATAGGTATTGATTATTTTGATTCGAAATATCTCGAAATTAGTCGTAGTAGTTTTTTTACAAGGGTCTTTTTTACGGCAATAACGACCGAAATGTATATATGTAATTTTATTACTCAGTAGTTTTATACAGGTACGAACGAAAATTTATTACTTCTCAAACCAGCTAAAAATATGTAGAATCCGACCCTTACAAGTGGGAGTCATATTAACATCAAAATAAAATTTAGAATATAAAAAGAACTCCAATACACCAATTCTCATTCAAATATCGACGTTATTTCAAAGATTATTTGAGGAAAATCGAAATACAAATGAAACTTTTATACCCTGTATCTCCGAAATGAAGCATTTTAGAACATAAATTTAAAGGAACTTTTTTACTTGAACTTATCTGCAGAATATGCTACCGAAGTTTCCTGAATATACTTCAGACCATCCCTATATTTCCAAAGATTCAGAATTATTTTATATAGACTCACAATTTAACATTATATCTAAACAATATTAATGTAACATTGTCTCTGATCATACACTTTCTGTATTTCCTTTTTGAATGCTCTCATAAATTCTAATTGTCTAAGAAGTTAAAACATTTGTTATATGTGTACAGGGTCGGTCAAATTGGATGCTTTTAAGCGGAAACACTCTTTTCTATAGGAGATAGATGAAAACTAATATCGGTGTCTGGAGCTCAATTTTTATCAAAAATATGATGGTAAAACCGTACATGGATATCTGATACTGTTTCGGAGTTACGGGATGTTTTTGAAAAGTGTGCATTTTTAACAAAACGTTATAATTTTTTTGCTTGGAAAATTTTGTATTTTTATAAAAACATTTCCAAAGCAGAATTTAATGGTTTAAGTATAATTTTTTAAAATTAATAATTTAAGAGTTATCAACAGAAAAAGTGATTTTATATTTGGGACACCCCGTATATTTTTAATTAACTGAAAAGGACTTAAAATTACCTTTCCAAAAATATAGACTAGACACACTTGATTTTTTAAAACTTTTATCCAGTAGGCTTTCAACCCCTTATGGATGATCTGCCCCTAATGGAACTCGCAAACATATTTTCCAGCAAGACGAGGCACCGTCTTAGAACGCTGTACAGGGTGGGTCAAATTCGACGCTTTTAAATGGAAACACCCTTTTCTATAGGAGATAGACGTAAACTAATATCGGTGTCTGGAGCTCAATTTGCATCAAAAACATGATGGCGAAAACCGCACATCAATATCTGTTACCGTTTCGGACTTACGGGGTGTTTGTCAAAAATGTGCATTTTTAACAAATCGCTGTAACTTTTTTACTATGGAAAATTTTGTATTTCTATGAAAACATTTCCAAAGCACCTTTTTACGTAGAATTTAATGGTTTAAGTATAATTTTTTTAAAATTAATAATTTAAAAGTTATCAACAGAAAAATTGATTTTTTATTTGGGACACCCTCTATATTTTTAATTAACTGAATAGAATTTAAAATTACTTTTCCAAAAATATAGCACACTTGATATTTTGTTATAATCCCCTTCGAAATACAGAATTTTTAAAAGTTCGCCACTTTTAACTAGTAAGCTTTGGACCCCTTAATGATGATATGCCCTTAATGGAACTCGAAAACATATTTTCCAGCAAGACAACGCACCGCCTCTGAACGCTGAAGTTTGCAGCCAATTTCAAGAAGAATTGAATAGCTAACCAAGATCCCAGCCGTTGGCCGTCGAGGCCGCCTGACTTAGTGCCCATGGATCTAATCCTATGGATATATTTGCGGAAGAATAAAGGTTCCTTATTCTTCCGTATAATCTAGACAAGAATTAGAAATACTTAGCAGTTATCAGAAAGTATCTTTCACCCCCACTGAGTTAATGAATTCCGCGAGAAATGTTCAAAAACTGCCCCGTCTGCCCATAACAGAAGACGGTCGATATGTCGTCACCTGTAGCAAAATATCATGTCTTGGTTTGTTATTTATTTTTATTGTTATTAGATATAGTTTAAATGTGTTGATGTTGGTTAAATATATTTTAAATTGTTATAAAATTCTGCATCTCTCGCAGCAAATATTATTTTCGTTTTAATTGATGCTCACAGCTAGAATTTTTTTGCATTACAGCCGGTGCCGTCAAAACCTACTTATTTAAAGCGGGCGAATTTTTATATACTCTATATCTCGAAGAGGAATCGAGCAAAATATCAAGTGTGTTATATTTTTGGAAAGGTAATTTTAAATTCTTTTCAATATTTTCAATTCTTTCTAGTCTCATATAAAAAATCAAATTTTCTGTTTGCAAGAAAACAGCGATTTGTTAAAAATGCATATTTTTGAAAAACACCCCGTAACTCCGAAACGGTAACAGATAATCGATATGCGGTTTTCATCATCATGTTTTTGACAAAAATTGAGCTCCGGACACCGATATTAGTTTTTGTCTGTCTCCTATAGAAAAGGGTCTTTCCATTTAAAAGCGTCGAATTTGACCCACCCTGTACAGATATCGATGTGCAGTTTTCACCAAATATGTTTCTGATAAAAATTGAACTCCAGACACCAACATTAGTATCTCCTATAGAAAGGGGTGTTTCCCTTTAAAAGCGTCCAATTTGGCGCACCCTGTACAAGAATCTAGTGTGTACATCATCAATAAATTAATGTGCATCTAGTGGATTGACCTTAAATTGTGTAAATTTTCTATTTTGACAGTCAAAATTCTAAGTGTGGTTGTATTCCTCGATTATGTTAGATATTCAAAACCACGGCAGTATAAAAATTACAGTATGAAATATCTCAATATTTTTTCACATTTAGACTTTTCACAGTTCAAGGCTTAATAATCACTTACCCGTAATAGAATCTGGAATGTCAGCATTTACTTCCGCCATATCCAACAAGTATTCGACTATTTCCGTGTGCCCTTGTCCAGACGCTGCAATAAGTGCTTGCTGGGCAGCATCGGCAAGTTCCACATCGTTTTCCGTTTTCAATATCCAATCGCAAGCCAGCAAATATCCCACTACATTTAGACATCCGTTCCTAGCTGCGTGGACCAAAGGACAGTACCCAACAGCGTCCGCGTGACCCGGACTAGCTCCAGCCGCTATCAGCTGTCTTACTACGTCACAGTGTCCTTTCGATGACGCCATGGATAGCGCTGTCTGACCTTGACTGTTGGCTAGTTCAACATCGGCTCCAAATTCCAGTAGAAGAGAGACCATTGGAACGTTTCCTTCGTTAGCGTAGGCGCATAATACTGGGCATTTACCGAGGAAGTCTGTTATGTGATTAGGACTAGCGCCAGCAAGTAAAAGAAGCCTCGAAACTTTTACGTTGGGACTGTAGATGTTTCTGATGTGACATACAGCCTCGGACACATTCTCCGAACTTTGACACACCCAAAAAGCTTGTAGGTCTCTAGAAGTCAGTGTTGGAAGAGACATGTTTCTATAAACATGAGCTTTTAAAATATGGTGACCTAACTCGAGAGTTTTTTCAGGGTCTAGAGGTGTTTGAACTCTAGATAATCTGAAGGCAATACCAGCATGTCCTGATCGCAGGTCGCACAGGAATCTGGTTGCTTCGTTCTCATCTCTGCGTATCAGCCATTCCCTAAACGATGGATGGAATAACATGTATGTGTTATCAAGTCTTTTGACAAGAAAACCGGATAGTAACTTGAACCGTTGTAGGAATTCCTTCCAAGCGAGAAAATTGTCAACTAGAAGTGAATTTACTGAGTAAAAAATTTCTAGCAGAGTTAAAGGATATAATGCAGAAAGGCAGACACTAAGGATATGCGTCACTTTTTCGAAGGATCTTATTGTGGGAAACCTTAAATTAAAATGAAGCAAGTAAATCTGTGACAATGTAACAGGAAGAACTTTGTAGCCCGATGATTTTGCTACCAGCTGTCCACGTTCTAATAAATCTAAAGTTAATTTTGCAAACAGGAAGGAACCTTGCGATAGATTTAGTAAATGTTGCGAAAATTTGTGTTGCGATACACTTCCACTTTCGACTTTTCCATTCGTAGATAATGTAATGTTGCTTTGTATACTCGGACTGTTTTGTAGCCTAAAATTGATATATCCTAAAATATCTTTTTGGATATTTTCATTTACAGGAGTGTTATCCAGACTTATTCTAGTAAAAGGAAACTGTTTTGTCAATTCTTGAAGCTGAGTTCTTACAGTGGCGACTACTTTCAACCAAGGCGGAAAGTTTGGAATATGTTTTAGAAGGAACGTCGTAATTGTATCACCGTTATCTGATCTATGATATTCAGCTTCGCAAAGTGCATCTACTAAAATTGTACAAGTAATATTATCGATTTTTCCAACCCTTTTCAAACTTGAAAGAGGCTCAAGTATGCCTCTTGTAAGGGCTACATCGGGATTCGCAATGCATTCTTTTAGAGACAACACATTTTGAAGCGTAGTTTCGTTCAATAAATGCTCTCTATAAGCGACTAGTTGCGGCGCTTGGCATAACTGCGCCGCTAAGGAATGGATAAAGTCAGGAACAAGGCACGTATTGTTATTGTCTGCTTGACAAAAGTGGTAAGCCACTATGGTACTAGCTAATTTTTTAATCTTCTCGGAGACTAAATCGATAGGACCGTATATAGTGGATGGAGGGCTTCTAGAGCGTTCTGGCGAATGAACAGATTGATACAAAGGTTCCTTTCTTCGACCGAAACAGCTATACTCGACGAGTTGTAGAATTAAGGCTGTTTTGCCGGTACCAGTGTTGCCTGTTAATAGAACTCCACAACCTGGAGAACCTATAATTAAAAAAAAGTTTAATGTTTTTTTGATTTAAATTAACTTTTCGACTTTTACCAATAATTTCTTCCATTTTTTTGAAAAGCCAATGCCTTCCGAGAAATAGGGGATCGGGTTCTTGGAGAGGTACCTCGAAAAACAACGGCTTCAGTGTTAATTGAGGTGCTTTATACTGGGCGAATCGAATTTTTGGGTCGATGGCTCCTTTGATGACGATACCAGTCCTAGCTGATCGTCGAATACAGGTTCTTCTATTCTTAAATAAATTGAGATCTTCTATTTGACCTGGCTGAGCAGCTAAAATAAGGAATAAAAAATAATTTTGCTAATCACAACTTCCGTTTAATGATATGGTGATCCATTGCTTCAAAAAGGTCAGAGTTAAATCGATCTCAGAAAACAAATCTTTTTCGATTAATAAAATGAATAAAGTTATTTGATTTTAAGTAATTTTTCTAAAGCTGATTTAATGTTTAAAGTTAAACTATTTTCATTATTCACAAATTCAGCGACATACTTTAATATTTAAATTTCTTTAAATTAATTAAAGTAACTGAAATATTCCGATTTAACTGGCAATGTGTAGTTTTTTATATTGTAAAAAAATATGACTTACTGGTTACGCTGTGTCTTCTACTAACTGGGCTAGTACTGCAGTTGCTTTGCCCAGACATTGACATGGACATTAATGATGCTACACTATCAGAACTAGGGTTTGTCCTGTGAGGGTCTTCTGAGCTACCCGTTAGTGTAGACACTGGACTGGTGTTAGTCGACATCATGGCACTAGTTTCATAACTGGCCAACGACGAGCATGATTCGAGATTATAACCTTGGTTACCTAAAATTGGTATTTTGAAATACAATAACCCTTCTACAAACATGTGTTATTTGATAAAAAATAGTGCATTTAACTTTCTTTAGATTTCTTTAGAATTACTGGAGATTGGTAAAAATAATTTGTTATGGAACAAACTATGACAAGAATGTATTTATGTCGGTGCAACAACCTGTCAAATCTGCGGTTGTTTGTACTAGGCAATTCTAGGCCAATTACAAAGAACTATATGGAGGGTTTAGTCCCCAAGTTGCTAGACATTGTGAAAAAAAATTGTTGTCGACCGATACCGACAGCGCTATTTTATTTGCTAATACCAAATAAACTACGCAGTACCAAGATCAGTACAAAGTAATCATAGTAATCAAAGTAACGAAAATCGACATCACTATTATTACTTATAAGGGAAGTTTTTATGAAAAAAATAACAGATAGTTTTAAACTGTTACAGGTTAAATATGGATAATGATTTACCTTTGGATCTTCTTGCTCCATCGCCTAGTAGAAGTCCAAGTCGCATGTACATGTCGTTTTCCGAAGATTTTTTGGCCGATGGGGTTTTGAGAGAAGCCTCATCATCTGCGAACAAAAATGACATTGAAATACCGATTACAGTGATATATTTTAACACACAAAATTAATAAATATATTAAAGATGCCGTCGTAAAGCAAGCAAGAATGTATTTTGTAACTGTTATTTCACACAAGTGTCTAAAGTGTGCCATACATAATTTCTGTAAAAACTGTAGTTTTATAATATATTGTACCGTATGAACGAATAAAAACGGCGTCAACGATGGTTATGAAATGAAGATCGCTGTCATTTTATATGTAAACTTATATGGGAAATGTCATCGATCGTCATTTCCAAGCCAACTGGACGCCGTTTTTTTTCGATAATACGGTATTTTATTTTATACCGCAATGCACTTTTATGCAGTCCATTTTAAGGAAAATAAAGTGGATTTTCATCTTCTGTTAATTTAATATATAGGATGAAATAAGAAGTAATTTTTAACTAAAATTTAAACTGTGACATTAAGTTAATCAGAGAGGTATATATAAAATGTAATGTTCTGGAAAAAAGGGTATAACTTTAAAACTACTAAAGATAAACAAAAAAAAAAAAAAAAGAAAATGTGAAAAAAATAATCTTCACCACTATGGGTGCATAATTGCTTAGATGAACTTGAAAAACCGGCGTCGCAGTATAAATTTTAGTTGAAAATATATTACTTCTTCTTTTATCCTGTATGTTACATTAAATTATCAGAAAAATGATCATTTGCTACTGCATTGTGTAGTGAACTAGTGGAGCTACTCGTCAGTGACTTTTTGAAATGAGATGATATCACAAAATGCAGCTTAAAATATATTATAGTGACTTGCTTTGTATATCCATCAGTGTATTTATAAACTTATGTAAAAGTTATAAATTGCCATATCGACATCTAATAATACAATAATAGTAAATATATTAATTTAACTATTTCTCATCAAATATTTCTATATATCAAGGGAGTTGGAGTTTAAAAACATCGTTGAACATAAGGTTATAAAATGTTTAATATTTATTTTTTCGTTCTCCAAAAACTGCAAAAGTATTTAATATTATTACTTCGATATGAATAATCACATAGTACATTTTCTACATACTTTTTCTAATTGATAAAAAATGTTAATACAAAAATAAAACAAAACTTACAATAACGATTAAGAATATCAAAGCAAACTATTAGTAGAAAAATAAAATCAAGGGAGAAAACAAAAAAAAATCAAAATAAAATCTAACTACTTGGTGTACGTACAGCAGTGGAGTGCTAGAAAATGTTATCTAGGGTGAGGAAATTTAACACCATGCTTCTCAAATCATTTCATGTAAGATAATTTTTAAATCTATGGTTAAATACAATAATTTGGGTAAAGAAAAACAAATCAAAAACATATAATATCAAGCTTCCTGCCTGAGGCCAACTGGTTCAGTCCGGCACCGGGACCGCTATGCCCCGCTTTCCAAAGCGAACGAATTTTCCCCAAAACGACGCTGGGCCAATGTTTTCCTTCTGTAGATGTCGCTGATGACGTCATAGAGGCTAAATAATAATACAGGTTCAGGTTGAAATTGGACCAAGAATTTCATATATTTTATGTATAAGGTTGTTTGGTATTTAAAAATCGATAACTAATGGTTCTAAGAGTTTTATTTAACGTATAATAAATATTTGGGACGCCAAGAAACAGAATACTGAAACTAAAAATCAGAGATTTTTTTACAAAAAACAATAGTATTCCATATTGAATCTAATTTAAAAGTTTTAATAAAGCTTTATGGAATAAAGTGTGTTACATAAAAAAATAATAACAACTGAAATCGGTTCTACAGACCCTCAGTGTTTCAAAATACTTTATAGTCGAAAGAGAAACGGCGTCGGCGGCGTCAAGTTGCCTTTGAAATGTCAGTGTTTTTTTAATAAATTTGTGTAAAATTATACAGGGTGAGTCTTAAATAAGTGCAAATATTTTAGGAGTAGTATATTTCAACCACAGAAATATGTCTAAGAGGTTTTTTTCGCAAAAAGGAAATTTTGCAAAGGGTATAGCCGGATTAATATGGGAAATCTACCCCTGCGGCTTTTTTGACTTTTACTCTGGGGATGGATTTGGTGTCGAATCAAAATAATTCACCCAAATTTTTAGCTCTTTAACTCAAACGGTTTTCGAGATTTTCAAAAAAACCTTTTTTTCAATTTTATTTTTATCGTAAAATTCAAAATTAATTAATGATGATTTTTTTTCTAATTCTTAGAAGACATGAAAAAATAATATGATCATGATTCTTAAACGAAAAGCCGATTTTTAGCGGAGGAAAGAAAATATAAATTTTCATTTTTTTAAACTTTGTGTAATATGCCGCTCACTAAAAATCATCAGAAAATGTCTTTTATAGGTACTTCTTTACACTCAGGAATTTTTTAGAATTTTTGTGGTGGAACGATATAAAAAAAAATAAAATCTTAAAAAAGTGAGTAGAAAATATTTTTTTATTAAAAATACATCCTTGTCAGAAATAAACATAAAGATTATTATAAAAAAATGAGTCCGAAGAAGATTTTACAAAAAAAAGATTTTAGTTATGTTTATTTTTTTTAAATGAGTTTTTTTTTCACATTGCTCCACCACTTCAAAAAATTCTAAAAAATTCCTGAATCTAAAGGAGTATAAAAGACATTTTCTGACGATTTTCAGTGAGTGGCCTATTTCACTAAAGTTAAAAAAATGAAAATTTAAATTTTCTTTCCTCCGCTAAAAATTGGCTTTTCGTTTAAGAATCATGATCCTATTATTTTTTCATGTCTTAGACTTCTAAGAATTAGAAAAAAATCATCATTAATTAATTTTGAATTTTATTATAAAAATAAAAATAAAATTAAAAAAATTTTTTTTTGAAAATCTCCACAAACCAGATCGATCCCCTGAGTGAGAGTCAAAAAAGCCGCGGGGGTAGATTTCCCATATTAGTCTGGTCCCTTTGGAATTTTTTGAAACATTTTTTGGAAAATTTTTTAGTTTTTAGTTAAAATATAATTTCGTAATAATATATACGTAATAGATTAAATTTAGAAGAAAGAAAACCCAGAAAAGACTGAAAGGTTCGCAAAATTTAAACAAAAAATATATTTTTTTAAATTTTCAAAGCAAAATAACTCGGTTATTTTGGGCTTATTTGAAAAACGGTAAAGAACAAATATGTTTCTTGAAAATATTTGCACTTATTTAAGACTCACCCTTTATATTGCATATACAAACATTACATGGATATATGTAGAAGAAAACTTTAGGTGTACATGGAAACTATTAATTAATTAAAACTAATAATAATTAATTAAAAAAATTACTAAACTCTTAGATTTGGAAAAACTGTAACCCATACGAAAACAAATTGTGCCTATTTTGTGATTTTCGTATAATCATTACAATCCTAATCTCTGTACAAATTACTATAATCAGGAATTATAATACCTACTACCAATTGTAGCTTATAATAGAACCAAAGTGACTCTATGTATATGATAACCAAAGAGTTGGCAACAATTGGAGTTTTCGAAAAGAAAATTACGCTAAACTCAAAATTAATTCAGTATGTCTAATAAAAAACAAATATAATCTTTTAAAAATAATGCCTAATACACGTAGGCGTCTAGGCCATTTATTTGATTTGATCTCCTTGATGAGACAAACGCAATTTTATTAATCACAATCAATAAACTAAAAAATAAAAAAATAATAAATCATTTATTTAATGTAATTTATTAGTATTTAAAAAAAAAAAAAGTGGTTTGGACATGTTCGCGTATGCCGGAGAACGGGTAACCAAATTTTTCAATGGGCTCCCCAGGGCAGAAGAAAGAGAGGTAGACCTAGAAAGAGAGGTTAAAAGCTGCTATTAGAATTATTGGATTAAGGCAAATTAATTAAATTGCGTTTGTCTCATTAAGGAGATCGAAATCGACAAAATACCAAGAGACAACTTTTAATCAGCATTTAACGGTCTATACAATTTTGCTAACAAAATAAAAAAGAAGTCAGTGGCGCACATATTTTTTTTAGAAAAATATTCCAGTAATAACCCATATGCACGTCCCTGGTGAATATGTCTACACTTTTTTAGAATTAAAATATGTCGCACATAATATAGAAACTTTCACCCTCAAAATGAATTATTTTTTTGTTATTGGACATACTAATTTGATTTTACATATAATTTTGTGTTAACTCAATAAAAAAGTCTAAATCTTACCTGACATGGCTCCGTCTGCTTGCTGCCTCCACCCCCGCCCTAAAAACGGGCTTCTTATCGCTTTGGGGTTGAGAAAGAACTTCCGTCTGGATTGGGGCGGCGTGGGGCAGCTCTGGGTCATTACATTCTGCTCCAGGCGATTCTTCGCGTTTTTCGGACGGATCTTTGGTAGTTTCTCTGGGTGTCCAATCTCGCTGCGAGTGGGAGATAACTCTTGCCTACCCTGTAATTAAAAAAGTATGTTAAACACAAGCACAATTAATGAAATCCCTTAATTGAGGAAAGCATCTTTTTCTTAGCAACGGGGGATTTTGTGTGCGCCTAGAAATATCCCAGTGCTGTATAGGCTTGATGCAGTTCAACCGATGTTTTAAAATTCCGCTAGCAGCGCTCGTTATGAAATCAGAACTATCCGGCCACCTTATTTCACTCCGTCCCTGTTACCGTTCATGTAGATCGCATAGAAATAATATGTAAATCAAGGTTCTTTTTTAAATTGCATTCTCAGAATTTTAGTTTTTTGGTTATAATAAATAAGTTAAATTTATTATATTATGCTTAAAAGAATTCAGTAAATATATTGAAATTGATCAGAATTTTCTATAATTATTTTAAAAATGTCTCGAAAATATGATACTAAAAAAGTAGAATTTGTTGAAAAACTAAATCCACAGTATATTAAATCTTACACCTTTTACTGTGAAATTTTCTCCATGATCATATTAAATAAAACCTGGTAATATTTAAACGCAAAAGCATTTTTTGCTCCAACAGATCCCTGACGAACAAACAGGGTTTATGCCAGGAAAAGGAACACGAGTACAGAACAGAGAAAAATGAATTTAATGTTAAAACATATTCATGCTTCGTCGACTATAGTAGGGCTTTTGATTGTGTAAAGTGGAAGAAGCTGTGGCTGGTGTTGGAAAACATGGGAGTGTCAAAACATCTTATATTTCTACTTAAAAATCGTTACGAAGACAACCCCGGAAAACTCAAAGTCATGAACGCCCTCCCTCTTTTAGTCCGAAACGTGGTGTGAGACAAGGTATCACGCATATCCTTCAACATCTATGGAGAGTATATGATGAGAAAGGTCTTGCAGGGCTGGCGAGGCGGACTAACGATAGGTGGAAAAAAGATCACGAACCTTAGGTATGCCCATGATACCTTAATTCTTGCATGCTCTGAGGAAGTTGTATACTACTGGTTCAGAAAGCATTCAAAGGAAGCACTACAAGAATAATTAGACGCAACGATGATTACAGCATGCCATACTGGTGGTCAGAGGACATACATAATGAAATATTGGCAGTTAGGAAGAAAAGACGAAAATTTCAAAGAGAAAAAAACGAAGGAAAAAGAATTGTACTATTAGAGGAGTATAAGATAGTTAAAAGAAATCTCAAAAGATGCATCTACCGTGCTAAGGAAAGGAAATGGGAAGGACTATGCGAAAACTTAGAAGAGGATATTTTTGGCGACGGATACAAAATTGTAAAGGCACAATTAAAGCTAACTAACCGAAAGACGACCTTACAAATTGAAGAGAAGTCGGCCATTTTTCGAGATCCCTTTATGCCTCCTAAAGGTATAAATCTGAATATGCATAAACAAGACCAAAAAAATAGTTATAAAAGATTGACATTAAACGAACTCTCAGTTGCCTCCGAGAAATTAAAAAGCGGAAAAGCCCCAGGCCCCGACGGAATACCACCAGAAGTTGTAAAATTTATCATCCGAAATAACTCGCAATACTTTTTGGAGGTGTTTAATAAACTTTTAAATGATAACGATTTTCCCGATATTTAGAAAAGTTCCAAATTAATTCTCATAGACAAGCCCAAAAAAATGAAGGTAGAAGAAACTAAATACCGTCCAATCTGCCTGATTAGCGCAACCGCCAAAGTATATAAAAATTTAATAAAGAATAGATTAATGGAAGAAATACAAAATAAAGGTGGGTTTAACCCTAACCAGTTTGGATTCATAAAAAAGTCACAACAATCAGTGCAGTTGATCTTGTAACAAAGACCGTCAAGGACAAACCCGAAAAATGGCATGCGCTGATACTAGTAGATGTGAGAAATGCATTTAATATGGCAGCATGGCCTATAATATTGTCAAAGTTAGCAAGAAGAAACATCAGCCCATATCTTATAAATATTATAATATCATATTTTACACAGCGTACTGTAAACTTGGATAAAGACCACCAAGAAGAGGTTGGGGGAGGCGTACCCCAGGGATCCGTTTTGGGTCCTACCCTTTGGAATATCCTTTACGATGACGTAATGGAAATAAGGGTGCCTCAAGGAGTAAAAATAATCTGCTGGTTAATTCAGGTTTATAAGCGGAGGTTTCAGCTGTGGTTAATACAGCCAGATCATCTGCGTGATCTGGCTGTATTAACCACAGCTGAAACCTCCGAAGGAATGATACGCAAAACCGAAGAGGCTTTACACTATATATACTTGTGGATCAATCAAAACCAGTTGGAAGTTGCGCCAGAGAAAACAACTGCTATTCTTCTAAACCGAAAGACAAAGATACGTGGTATACAATTTAAAGTCGGTGGGAAGTACGTTAAACCAACTAATACAGTAAAATACCTCGGAATAACACTAGATAGAGGGCTAACTTACAGTCAACATGTAAAGAATGCTTGCGGAAAAGCCAACAGAACTGTCAAAGCTATATGTGGACTACTACCGAACCTAAAAGGACCGTCCTCAAAAAAAAAGAAAAGTTTTTGCAGTATCAATGCAAAATATAATTCTATACGGCGCTCCTGTATGGGTCGAGGCACTAAAATTCCAATGGACGAAAAATATATTGCTTTCCACACAGAGAAAAATGGTCCTAAGGATCTGTTCAGCGTATCGTACGATATCAACAGATGCTGTGTTGGTTATAGCTGGGCTGATCCCGCTGCATTTAGCAGCTGAGGAAAAGCGAGAGTTATATGTCAAAGCAGAGATTAACGATGAGGTGAAAAACCATCAACGACGAGGTACGTATCAAAAATGGCAAGACGAGTGGGATACATCCGACAAGGGAAGGTGGACTAGAAAGTTAATTCACAACGTGGAGGACTGGACAAGTAGGAAACACGGAGACGTGGACTATTACATTACGCAGTTTCTTTCCGGGCATGGAATCTTCATGGACTTCTTGCACAGAATAAAGAAAATACCAAATGGCAACTGCATGTACTGCGTCGAAATCGACGATGCCGAGCACACCTTGTTCTGTTGTCCGAGATGGGAAAACGGAAGGTCTGCCTTATTGTCGGATGTAGGAATGTTAACTTCGGACACCTTGATTATGAAAATGACCAAAACTAGCGAAATATGGGGAAAGGTAGGGACATTTATAAAAGAAATAATAATAGAGAAAGGAAAAGGCAAGAAATGTGGAAATATCCTAAAAATAAATAGAATAGAATATAGATAAAAAATAACATAGATAAGATATAAACCCCAAGATCACGTACGAACCCGAAGTAATGCCATGCGGCGGTTCCGGGTAAAGGGGAGAGGAGGAGCTGACTCCTCGGAGGTGGACTTTTTTAGTGGGTAACAATTCGACTCCCACACTGTTTGGAGTTCGTCTCTATGATCGTCTCTCTCGAGATGGTGATGGGAACGAACACCACTCGCCTATAAAAGGTTTTTTACCACCCCCTCAAAAAAAATGCTCTGAGGAAGAACTTGTTCAAATAATGAGAAGGTTGAGTAAGATTAGTGCGGAACATGGTATTATGCTAAACAAAAGGAAAACGCAAGTCATGATAATCATGATAATAGACCGAATTCCTACTAACATCAGGGAGATTGATGGTTTTGAGGTGGTTGGAAAGTTCAATTACCTCGGATCCCTCATAACAAACAAGGGAGGCTGTGACGAGGAAATCAAACGCAGACTAGCAATAGCTCGTAATTTGAATATAAAACTATCACGAATATGGAAAGACTCTGTAATATCCCAGCGCAACAAATTAAAATTAGTAAACACATTGATATATCATATCGCTACTTATGCATCAGAGACACGGACTCTGAAAACTACAAACAGACGAAAAATAGATGGTTTCGAAATGTGGGCCTACAGAAGAATGCTGCGAATTTCATACACAGGACATCGGACCAACGTATCAATTCTAAGGCAGTTGAAAGTTAACACAAGACTTTCAACCAAAATAAACCAGTCATATCTTAGGTACTTCGGGCTTCGGGCACATTTCGAGAAGAAAAGATGGACTGGAAAAAATCATAATCGAACCAAGAGGACGATCTCCGACGCGCTGGGTGGACCAAACCAAACAAATTATTGGTCACAGCGTGCAAGAGGCTTCTATAGCCGCTCAAGATAGAGAGGGATGGCGAACAACGATCGGAGCAGCTGAAGCAGAAAGTTGATAAGTTTTATATGTAAAATTTTTCTAAAATTATTACTCAGTAACTATCGAATATTTATAAATATCAGATATACCAATATGATTATTTTAGATTTCAAAACTACGTGAAAAATTCTAATTTAATTAAGGCGATAATATTTTTAATCTTTTAATTGTATAAAAGCAATCTTGTAATCCTCATCTCATAAAATTTCAGCAGAAAAATATATATAAATTATTCCTTCTTAAAAGAATCCAAGTCTGAAATGTAATTAAAAAAAAAGTTCAATGTAATACAAGTTGAACAAAAAAAAAATAAACTACCGTGCACCATATTATAGCACATTTAACTTTCTGTTCAGGCTATGCAACCTTATTTAGGTGCGGTAAATTATATTTAAATATGGTGTAAAAACTGGCAATTTTTAAACCAGATATTACATCATATGTGAAAAATTACCACTAATTTAGTTTTGAAATAAAATAATAATAATAAATTTAATTCCATAAAAAAGTAAAAAAAAATGGGATGCGGAATATAGATTTATTCACATTTTTTTCTATAAAATATGTCTGTATTTAAAGTATGAATCAGTGTTATTTGCCATATGATTTTGTATTCAAGAAATGAACCCTGAACTAACATTTTTTAAGTTATAGTTTGTTCTGAATCCCAGATTTATTTTCATGATAAAATAAATATTTTATATAATAACCGTAAAGTTTTCTGTTTCATTGGTAATATACTTAGATTTTGCAAAAATGAATTAAATAATCTCAGAAAACTTTAATTATATATAAGATGTTTTTATATTTTATTCGTG